GTAAATGGCACTCTTATAGTGTAATCTGTAAATGGCACTCTTATAGTGTAAATAGTGATCTTGCTGTAAATGGTGCTCTTATAGTGTAATTGTAGTGTAAATTGTGCTCTTATAGTGTAAATGATACTCTTATAGTGTAACCATAGTGTAAATAGTGATCTTGCTGTAAATGATACTCTTATAGTGTAAATAGTTTTCTACTAGTGTAATCATAGTGTTCATGTTCTTCCATCTGGAAAGAAAGATTTAGGTCATGTACATACAGTTTTCATACTGGCTTGCCTTTGGGCGAAAAAAAAAGATTATTTAGGTTGGGGGCAGTATGAGAAATTTAATATTTCACTCAGCAATGCTTGTGGCAAAAATAACAAGCCTTTGTCAAAGTCAGATACTTAATGACCTTAATTTGAAATGAACAAGACTGTTTAGTATATGGTCCTGTGACAACTGATTATCATTTCATAACAAAAATGGCAATGGCATCTTGGATTATATTACAATAGATGAAAATAACATTCTAGAAATAAATTTGCTCAATGTCCATTTCTTCACAAGATACTTGTAAAGAGAGCAAAGTCAAAAATCGTTTCGCATTTTAAATCATTTGGGCAAAATGTAAAAAAAAACACATCCTTGTGACAAGATGGATGGAACAAAGGTAGTTTATAAACTGAAATACAAATATAAAATGCAGTCAACAGATTATTTAAATATGCTTGGGAGAAGGGGCATTATTATTTTTTTTGATAGAAACGATGAAATGTTGCGATAAATTCAATAACTCAACTTGACAAATGAGAGCCAGAGGAAGGACACGTATTAATAGGTTGTCGGGTAAATCAGATTACTGGCATCACTCGGGACTGTCAGTTACTGGCAGATTACAAGGGACAATCATAAGTATTTTATGACACGGCACAGATCATCTGATTGAATGCACGTTAAATCCTACATTTTCAGGACATGTAATCAGTCCAATAATTGCATTATTAACGGCAACTCTTTCAGGGGAGAGTTGTTGATACGGTTGTTTAAAGAAACCTGCATGTGCAATGGTGAATATTTCTGCAAAAAAATGATTAATGCAATCAGTCCTGGAGCAGAATGCATCTACCTATTGCTAGCCATGTGATGTTGCCATAGGCAACTGCATTAACCCAGGCTTGATTACAGCATTTCTGTTGAAAACAGACACTTTTTCTTGTGTTAGTTATTCTGTAACTTGTGTTTCCATGGTTACCCTACATCCTCTGCTCCCATGTCACAACAGTCTCTTTATTCTTTTAGTTTAACCTTTAAGGGTCATCAAAGATGGATGTCATTCTGACAATTTAACAAGTTGTAACAAGACAAGTCGCTAAACTTTTGCTTCCACATGTATAGAAACAGTTCCCAACATAAAGATAAATGTTTTATTTCACAAGCTATATTAAATAATACAATGATCGATCAATGTCTATGTTGCAGTTTGAAATTAGAAAAAAAAACCAGACATTTTACCAATAAAATCACCTTGTGAAACGACTTGGCAGTGGTCATTTTTCAGGGACACCCATGGTCTTACATCAGTATTCTAAAAATAATTACGAGAAAAATGTTCATGAAATGCTAAACTATCATCAATATATTGCAATAGCCGTGAACATCTGTAGGCGCGTACATAGCCGTGAACATCTGTAGGCGTGTACATAGCCGTGAACATCTGTAGGCGTGTACATAGCCAACATCAATACAAGTTATTGATTGCAGTGCATTCTTCATGGACTTGCTTAACCAACCACCTCCGTGAACCGATACATTTTTCCCATTTTTGTATAGGTTTCACTGTACCAATAATCAGCACATAATTTACTTTGAATTTGATTTAAATCCCAAATAAATATAGAATCAACGTCTCATTCGTGTTTTGAAAGTACCTCAATTATGAATAAATTCATGAAAATTGTTATTTTCCAAAATCACAAGTTAAAAGATAATTGCATGTAGAAGGCACTACAGAAGCATAATATCCAGACAATTTATTTGTTGCAGGAGATGTACATTATGCTAAACCAGCAAACACCACTCCCACTGCTTACAACATCAAATATTATCAAGCAATAGATGACATGTCTCAACAAAGATGTTCTACAAATCATTACAAACCATCAACACTTTCATACTTTGTCCTGCCAACATTTTGCTGCAACATTTTTTTCTTAATTTCGAACCAAATGGCAATAATTTTATGTTGCCTTCAGGATTTAATCAAAATGTTGGAAAATATAACTAAAAAATTTGGCACGTTTACTGTAAAGGGGTTAATTATTCACTGGGTTTTAATTTTGCTTATTTCGCTGACTGGAAAATGCGCTAATTTAAAACCTAGTGAATATGTAAAATTTAGCATAGAACACATTATCTAAATGATAAAACCATGAATTTAAAACCCACTGAATATGCCTGAAATGGTAAATCAGCTAAATTTAAACAGTGAAAATTAGTCATTTTACAGTATTTTGTGAAAGGTAACAGAAATTTACTTTGGTGTTCAAAGAGAAGGGAAACAAACATGAATTGTCACATTTCATCATGATTAAACTTTTCAATATATCAAATTTTATCAACTAATATGATAAAAACAATGCATTCTACATACTTATTGAAATATGACATTAAAATATATGAAAAATACTTCAAGTCAATGATGACAGGATGAATAAAAATGATTACCAAAGTTCTAAAACCTGTCCAATATTATGTTATTTTAATGGTGAGAAACTCGTGGAACCCAAAATTAAGTGCACAACATCTATTTCTAACATGGACCATATTGGAATTACATGACAGACTAAAAATATCCAACATTTTGAAATATCTGTTTTATGCAATATCTGTATATCTGTATATCACTATGAATATGAAAAGAAAAACAAATGCTGAAAGAAATGACAAAAGACTTAAAGCTTTACTCTGCAAACATGACAAAACGCTACAATGCCATGCTGCTTGTATCCAAACGCTTCTGTATCCATGGTAACAGAATCACTCATATCTAATGCGAGCGTCATCACACACCATGACATCCTATTTGTTACCGTTTAAGTATGAGTCTTTTAAAAAATTTGAGCTTGTGTGATGTTTTTTTAAATTCAACACACAAACTCACAATCAAGGCCATATGAAAAAAGATACTATTTAATATGTAAAGCAGGACTATATTATCCACTGGCGGGTACATAGTAGCCTAGGGCATTATAGATATATAGACCTATCCATTGTATATCACAGCCTACCTATTAATATGTATTCAGAGCGACAAACAGAAAGAGTTGAAATAGCCCGAGGAGATAGCAGTCTTCACTCTTACCTTATTGTCCGTTTTTACTGCTAGTCACACACAGCATCAAATCATCAAAGACAATTTATGCTGAAAACAAACAGGCGACCCTCTCCACTTATACTGTATTTTAGGATCAAGGTTTCAGTTTTAAAAAAAAAATATCAAATTCAACATCTGAATCTATGATAAATATTTTAAACTGGAACGGATTAATTTAAGGATGAGAAGTTAATGTGTTGCGCCATCAGGCAGTGTGTGTCAAAATACTCCAAGTAACCAATCAGCTGCAAGAATGTGACATGCAAATTAGCACTTAGCAAGTAACCAATTCGCTGTCAGTACTGTAATATGCAAACATCAAATTAATATTATCAACTACTATAAGCAGTTTCAATACCTTTATATAAAGAACCAAAACAAAAACAGACAATATTCACTTTCTTTTGTTGATAAGCTAAAAACATGTTAACTTGTTTGTTTTCTTGGTAAAAATAGCATATTATTGATTAACAAGGTTCATCAGATAAAAATTAAAATTAATTAATTTAATTTAATCAAATCCATTTTTGTAGGCAGTTCTTTTCAATCTTATTCAACCCATTTGTTATATCATTTCTGACTTGTCTACTCAAAATCTGTAGAAAATGCTTTTTTACCTCAAAATTCTGAAATCTGTGTCAGGTATTCTAATTACAGTAGACTGGGAATGTGAGTGGGTTAGTTCCTACATGACTCGCTTTACTTATAGCACTTCAAAGTGAATATTTTTGTCACTTTAGTCAGCTTGCTTTTGTTTTCCAGATTTGATATCATTCTAGGAACAAGTTGTAAAAGTCTGATCATTTTCTGATTTACAGAATTCCTTTACAGAAGTTTGCAAACATTTAACATAGTTACATCTCACTGATTGATTTCTGAAACTGTCAACTCCATACCTAGCAATCGATTAAATACTAGTACTTGATATTGGTCTTGTGTATTGTAAGCCACACTTGTAAAATACAGAGTTTGTTGACATAAAAATCTGTGGTGCATGATACCCATCAGCCTAAATTTCAATAAAGCTGTTAATAGTGTGTAGATAATGAAAGAGACAATCCTGCATATCTTTACAATTTTTAAATACATTCTATCTTATTAACAATATTTCTCTTAATTTGTTTTCACACTTTTAACATAATTGAAGCTCAGGTATGATATTGCTATAAAACAAAGAATTGACTAAAATATGCAATAAACATTAATTCTTAATCTACAGTGTAAGTTGGTGCATGATTAGCTTAACAAAATACAAGCTTTCAAACTTGCAATTCCATTACTACTTGACTTAATAAAATCTGAAATACTGTGTAAAATTGAGATGGAAAAAAATCACTAATTCTAGATTTGAATTTAAAACATGGAAGAAAGTAATTGTTATTTACACTTATTTCTGTAAAAGTTAGGACCACGAAAATGCTGATGTAGTATATACTCTTACATAAATATTTCAAACATCATTGTCCCTTTATATTTCATGTTTACTCCAATTCACTGTATTGGCATCCATAATTTTTTAAAGCCAGATGCAAAATGAAAACAAAATGTCATCTTTTATTTTCTTCACATGTGAAAAGCAAGATTAATATTATATGTGTATGTTTAATTAATAAATACCCATATTAAATCAATCAAGTGTTCAGTCTAAATATTCTTCTTTGATCACAGGTGACACATTAAGGCTTTTACGACACATGACATACTCGGAAAATTGTGCACCCTCACTACCACCGCCACATGCAGCAACCACTTTGAATCCACACTGGAATAATCGCTGTAATACTTGTACAGAGTTCAGTTTACAGAATCCATTGAGAGGAAAGCGAATCACATGACTACTATCCTGGTTCCAACCATAATGTGAGCCAGAATTACACAGCACACTGCTACCAATCTCAGGAAAGATTTCATGCACCAGGTTCTTGTCACCACTCAGACAGACTCTTTCACCACAGTCAGGACTTACATTGACCACAATGCATTCATTCATCCCAATCTCCTCCTCCATAGATTTTTGTCGTTCCTTTTCTTCTTTGTACTCTTCTAGCGCATCTATCATATTCTGAAGTTCATAAAATTTAGCCTCCTCGTACAAGCCATCAAACTCACCAAAATCATTTGGCAGATTTAATTTAGAAGTTCGTAGAAAGCTGAGGATGTAACGAAACAAGTGTCCATCTCGGTCGATAAAATAATGCTGTTTGAGACTGTCAATGACAATAGGGATATTTCCATTGAAAAGCTTACCAAGTTTTGAATCAGGAGACCTTGCCAGCGTTTCTAGCGAGGATGTGTATATCTGACCACCAACATCAATGTGAACAGGAGCAGTGAAACGATTGACAGGGGCAACACATGGTACACCTTGCATTGATGAAGATGATGGCACTGGAGATGATGACGCCATGATTCAATAAAAACCTAAAATTAATGAAAAATAAACAATTGTCAATTTCCTCTGTGTAGCTGGCTGTTATGAAGTGAAGCTTGAAGGAACATCTAATTCACATTAATGATGTTTAATGTATGACATTCATAAGGTAGTCATTGGATAAATTTTTAATAAAAACAATGCTGTGAAAGCAGCTGCCATCTAAAAATGTAGTTTAACATTTCGGGAACTCTACAAGAACAAATCCACTAATTTCCACCAATTATGGTCAAATGATGATTTACATAATCCATTGTCATTTAAACAAGTCCACAATTGTGAAAGAAAGCACATAAACAACGTCCAGATAGCGGATAGGGAATAGAAATGAAAAAGTTTTTGCTACTCAGGCAACTGCTACAGAATATTCTCTGGTAATTACAACTGGCTATTCATGGAAAAGACTACGCTTGGTGGGTGTTTAGACTGGTCTAAACAGAAAGAAGAAATCAAGACACACTTGCAAGTGGGACAAAGAGAACTACATTTACATATAGACGTATTTTGAAAAAAAGCTATGCACTTTAAAAAACTTATGTTAATATATACTAAAACACACACGCGTCAGTGGAATGAAACGGTTGTCACCTTCAAGGTCAAGCGGTCCGCACACCACCTCCTTGATGTGACAATTGAATCACTGTAACATTTTTTGAAAACCGTCAGACAATGGTGTTAAAATGACGAGCGTTTAAGTGGGTTTCTGTTGACACACAAGCGTAGTCATTGTCCAATTTGATGCACGAGGTGGTGTCAGTGTGAGCACTCACTGCCCACCAAAGCGCTGATTATACTCAAATTGTTTCTGAATGACTATTGGGACAAACAAACTTCAGTAAACATTCAATTAACGCTATTAACAGTGCGTTAGTTACGTGACACTTGGGAGCACATCGCACGCGGCAACTATTGGCTGGTTCGCACTGACAAAATACTCGGCAATATTAAAACATGTTAACTAAATCGCCAATCACCAAAGTAAAAACGCGCATCCCTAGAGCCAATGTAAAAAATGCCGTCTGAATCGGGAACAAAAAAGATAAGTACAGAGTGAGACAGATTCGCGTTACTGTCTGTTCTACTGTCGTGAAATATCCTGATATACGAGACACAGTGGAACAACCACCCGTCGTAAAACGCCTTCGGTCGGCCTCGATTTTACCACGTATTCGTCAATCACAAAACATGGATATAAATATCGTAACTGGTGAATAAACGGTTAGCAATTAGTTATTGAGGCTGACCTGCAAAAAAACAACAAGGTTTTTGTTTGGTGCGCCATAGGACGTTGTCAGTACAGGAAGGCTACACAACTTATAGCAGTCCCCCATCTACCGTTCGGAGCAATTAACACGCAAATTAGCATGTACGTACCTGATCTCAGAGACTTCCTCAGCAACACTCAGTTAAATACGAACTGAATATATTTTTAAAAGATCAAGAAACGGCCAGCGTGGAAAAATGGCGACGAATAAGAAAGTTTGCCGCCGGCAATTTGAAATGCTTCCGGGTATGCGTCTGTTTGGAATCTCGCGAGAAATAAGGCTCCCTAGATTTCTAATACTTCTACAACACATGAAATGAGGGAACTTGAAAAAAGCTAATAAAACAGTTTCTGTAGAACTACGACGGTGTTATGTCTTCGTGATTATATATTATAATTCTAAAAATGTCTATATTTACAGCCAAATGATGTCGAACTAGAATATATACTCGCTCAGAAAACATAAACTCAACAAGTACAACGAAGTTAAGGACGCGTCAATACATTTGAGGTAGTACCGCCACCGCCTACTAGTATTCAATGACAGAAACGACAGCAAGCGCGCCGTTCTGGCAAACACAAGACCAGTTTGACGTGCTTAAGTCAATTGAAGCCTTTGTGAATGCTTGAGAAAACTTCAAGAAGCAGCTATAAGATGTGATTTTAAATATATGAGCGGGAATTTTATGGTTGTTGAATATATTTTGAAATCTAAGTCTGAATACAGTACATGCATGACTTACACACGTGTTATAACTGTGTTGTAGTTTTCAAGTTTTCTTGTCACTGTTTCAAGTACGATTTTTCAGTATCCAAATTTGCAATATTTTCATATACAATTGCATTTCAAATTTCATACATAATATATATTATACCAGTTCGTTGGTAAAAAAAAATCCATAAACTTACAATCATTCAATGTGAAACAAACATACTACGAGTATGAGACAACATATATAAACGTGTTAATGTAGTCGCGAACAACGCCACCAAAGCCGCTTCAAGACACTGCAATAGAACGAACTCGTTGATTATAAACATATTTTCGGGCGGTGGGACTACTCCATTGCGTTAAAATATGCAGTTTTACGTATTAGACCGGGTACAGGAATTGGAAAGAGAGAGTATACTAAACATTGGGAGGAGAATGGGACAACAGGTTTATGTGCATTGATAATACTGTATGTTACTAAAGATACAAGACACTTCGCGATGAGCGTCTTTTGCGGTCAGTAATATTTGCGAAAATATTTGTTCACTATTGGTGATCCGCTCCGCTAGAATTGCCCTTAAAATCACTTTTGTGTGTCTGTGTGGGTGATTTCCAGTGTTTTCACGTATTAATTCTTCTGTGATTATTTTGGCTTGGCCAATTTTGCTCAAACTTGGCAGGTAGATCACACCTTCACCATAGTTATTAGGAAAAACTGAATATGAAAAAATTATTCTGGCCCAACAGCCAAAAAACTGATTTTTTTGACTACCTTCGCGCCAAGTGTATCTCACCCTACATTTCTTATTCTACTCAGCTCAGTTGAGTGTGGGCATAAATTCACTGGGTTTTTAATGTCTATTTTCATTACTGAGAAACTTGACCTCAAAGTTGGGGTAACTGCTCTGTGGGTTCGTTTTTTTTTTTTTTGGCTTGGCTGATTTTGTTCATACTTGACAGGCAGGTCGTACCATCTGATCACTAATTGAAAAAAAATCCTGGCTCACCGCTGCCATGGCAACAGCCAAAAACTGATTTTTGAATACTTTCGTCCCAAATTTATTACCTCCTACCAGTCTTGTAATAGCAGTGTTCATATGATCATGTTTTTTTGGCTACGTTGCGCACTGGTAAGAGATCACGGGCGCCAACATTGTTACACTGTATCAACGTAGTCCTAACGCATGAACTATGAATGAACTGTAAATGCTGCCTTCAATTAGAACAATTGTTTTTATTTATTTTATTTAATCTATACATTTAATAAATAATTTAATAATATAAATATTCTGGTCTTACTAGTATTCGGTTTTCTTATTCGTGTTGACCTTGTGAGTGGACGTGCGTGCTGTACATTTTGTTGCGTAATTTGTGCATCCTGCACTTCCATATCCGGTGCTTTGTTTTCCGCAGGCAATTTTTGGTTATTAATTTCATTCATAATTCGTTCTAACTCTAACTCTACATCTTCATTATACTCATCCATATCAACATTATCTACATTTGGACCATGGTAACTTTTAAAGAAGGATTTATCTCCAGTTATTTGTTTATTATGTGCGTTGCTGGCAGTCACCATACTACCTTTGGAACGCACAGCCCGAAATCTATCTTTCTTGTACCTTGGTTCATATTTTGTTAGTTTCGTATTTTTCACAAACACTCCCCCATCAGGAAATGATGTTTGCTTCACTCTGGCATGTTTATCGTGAAACATTTTATTTTTATTCATGCTACGATTATGTCTTAACATTATTTATACCTTTAAATAATTTCGTATCGAGATCAATAGAAGGAAGTTTATTTTTAATTTTTCGATTGAAAATAACTTCTGCTGGACTTTTCCCAGTTGGCGGATGGGGAACAAGAATTTTCGGATTTCAGTTTTCCATTTTTTCCGTTCTACTAATGAGCAACGAATTATTTTATCTAAATTTTTCATAAAGTTTTCTGCCAACCCATTTGCTCTAGCAAATTCGGGGGTGATTTTCTGATGTTTAAAACTAGAAACCTTTGAATATGTCTTGAATTCTTTTAAATTAAACGGAGGTTTATCATCGGGGTATCCATAAGAAGTGAAGATGCGATCAAGCTTTGGTATAACCGCTGCCGAACTTGTAGAGCTCGTAATTTCAACTTCTGGAAACCGTGAATACTCGTCTATAACTAAATTAAATATTCACCGGACGGCAGAGGGCCATACATATCCGTTGCTATGG